CACACACACACACACACGCGCACACACACACACACACACACACACACACACACACACAAGCACACGCAGACACATACACGCGCACACACACACACACACACACACACACACACGCACACGCACACGCACATCACTTTTGCCACCCCAAATGGATTGTACTTTTTGCACACCTCACCTTGACTGAGTCGCAGATGACTATTTCGCAGGCAATCCATTTCATAACGCTGTCAGAGTAAGCAAGCAGCTGCTGGAGGCAAGGCTCTGATGGCGTCCCTACGTGCGGCAGGCTGCTGCTCTCTGCTGGCGGAGTTTGCAAGGACCCAGTACTTGAGGTGCTGTTGGACAAGGAATGTTGGGGGAAAAATATTGACAAGTTAGATTATTTTAAATTGTGTTTTCACATATTTTTCCCCACATTGTGATTATTTGTATTTGAAGAATAGGCATGGGAAGTTCAACAAATTGGATTATTTTTGCCGAACAGATTAACTTTTGCTTGTGGACTGTTAAAAGCATGTTGATTTTAAAAAGACAAAAAAACAGTCAAATGTAATTTGTTGAATTCTGACTGAAACTCTGCTGCCCATCTTATCACAAGGATCTCCTCCACCTACCACATCACTTCAGTTCTGCAACAACTCCTGTTTATTTTTTTTTGTGTTTTGTGTTCAATTTTCATTATGTACTGCACTGTTACAGTCGCAATTGTTTTGCTCTAGCAAAAACGTTGAATTGAGGGAAATGTGTATTATCTAGTATTGGTGGTATTTGTAGAGAAAAAATTGTGGCAATAGCTAACTTTACATTCTAAAAGTGCAATGATTCTAGCCGATGGCTCGAACTGAATACTGCTGAAAAACGATAATGTTTTAGATTTCCAATTTGTGGGCAGTAAAATAATACTATAATAACGCTGGAGAACTTACTCGTCTTTCCTTGAGGGCTTATCTATGATGCCTTGTATTCTGGAGTTGAGGAAATGAACCGGATGACATCCGTGGAAAATGTCCTGCATTTTAAAAGATTGCGTGACACGAATGACTCATCCATGATGTGATGTCTCCCTCTAGTGTTCAAGAAAAACAAGCGTGAATATCCGTTCAATACAATTTGACGCATCTGATGACTCCTCATTCATCCATTCTCACAGCGGTTAAAGATGCTGCCATATATGGCTTGGGAAGAAAAGTCACATGGCTGCCATTGTAGTACGAGTGATAAGAGGTCTAAGTATCCTGCCAACAAAGCTATAGAGACTTGAATCTGCAATCTTCTAGTTGGGAAGTTGGAGAAGTTTACTGGACTGAAGCTTATTGGAAACATATTAAAAAAATAAATAAATGAAATATACCTGCTGCAGAAGGGTGAGTTGCTGAGCGACATGCTTTGCACTGTAATTTTTCTGGCTGAAGGTGAGTTTCTCATCACTGCTGGAAGGGTCATATGCCAGGGAGATGGAGCAAGGCACAGGCAGAGCTGCAGCTATCGAGAAGGCCTTCTCTTTTGGCATGGGTGCTGAAGCTTCCGCCACTGTTTCCTTTAGTACCAATTTACAAGAATTAGAGAAGTTGTGGTTTTGCAACAATTAGAGAATTTGAATTAGACAACAATTACTGTCGTATCACATCATGGCTTTGAGCTCATTTTTGATAGTACTCAAGAATGGTTACTTAAAATATCAATTTCCCAGGACAATCAAAACTAGCCCTTGATAACAAAGACGATAAGAGGACATTTTTGCTCTGACTGACCTTTTTCACCTGATCCTCAGTCGACAATGGACTCCAAAAGGATTGCGCAACACAACCAATTTGACTCTCTCTTCTTGTGCTCCAAATTGTCCGTGGAGGACTGTGGAGAGCAGCAAGTAGGACCCGCCCTCGCACATCCGCTGGAATTACCTGGCAGAAAACAAGAAACCGTATCAGATAACCATTATTGTCCTCAACTATTTTTATTTCCTCTGAATATGTTTGATTAATTCCAATATCAGTAACTACTGTAAAATTATCAGTTTCTCTGAATTTGCAAATGATAGGAACAGTTGGACTGTTTTTTTTTTACTCTACAAACCAGTGATTCTGGACTGTTGTCACTCCGCCATCTGCATTTTTCAATTTTTGCAAAGTCGTGACCCACTTTTTACAGAACAGAATGGTTTTTTTTTTAAATATGTATTTTTGTATAATTTTTTGAACAATTTTAAATGCTGAAAATGGCTTTCTCTCTTTGATAATGGTTGAACAAAAATACATTTTTGAGGTCACCAGTAAAGCCAGCGATATACATATAGAGTCATAATATTTTGCAGCACATAGTGTTTTGTGTTATCATTGTGTGGTTACCACATTATGAAGGAAGTTTTCCAAAACATCCACAATGTTGGACTTTGGCATGAAGTCGACTGTTTTGCAATCCATAATCCACAGGTGCAACAAGTCCAAACTGCGGTGCATGATGTTAGCACGATTTTCCGATCTGTCTGGACATTCTCTGTCAAAATCAAAGCAGTATGTTCATGTGGCGTTTGCCATTGAAGCTTGAATTATGCTCGTTGTGCATTCATGTTATACCTGACTACACTGATGAACATCTCCATAATAAACTGCAGTAACTGCTCAGAAGTGCAGAAAAAGCGATACGTATACAGGAACTGCTGGATGAACCCCTCTGAAGCAGCGTTTCTGTGCAAAAAGAAAATGGAGTGTGACACTAAATATATGATGGCGATTTGTGTGTGAAGAGAGAGAGAGAGAGAAACTGTGGCAGGATTTACTTTCTGGACCTGGATTTGACACCTCAGTCAGATCCATTTATAGAGTGTACATGGCAAGATTTATTATTATGTGCAGGTATGTCATTTTGATATAACTGAAAAAACACTTTCCATTTTTTTTCCAGCTCTCACTTTTAATTTCCTCCTTATAACAGCATACCTGGTCTACACAATGGTAGATTATTAAAACAATCCAATTGACTGTTTTATAAAAAATATATTACATATACGGTATATTTAACATAATTAAGTTGCATGGCCCATTCGAAAAATTAATTGGCCACCTTTGACTGTCAGTATTACAGCTACCTGCCCTTTAATAAACATCCTGGCAAACATCCAGACTCCTCTGTCCAAGTTATAAAGTTTTATTAAAATATATGTGGGGTTATTTAAGGTAATCCTTTTATTAACACACACTGTAAAGGGAAACAGACACATTGCAGATAAAAATAATTCCTTGGTGGGTATAGGACATTTTTTTCTTGGTATTTTTTTGAACCGACTCTGTAAAGTAGGGGTCACCAACATTTTTGAAACTGATGGCTACTTTTGGGATAATAACTTCTGTGAAGGACTACTTTTTTCTCTAATGCATTGTCTTTGAAGACCACAAGGACTAAGTTTCAAATCCTGCTACAAATAAGAAAGGAAATAATAAATCTGATGGTTGGAGAGATGGTAAAAATACTTCCTGAGAACTGAACACGTGTGCAAGATCTCACATGAATCGACTTTGTATGCATAACTGGTTCATTGCGCGGCGTTATACACGAAAATTACGGTATCAACATTTAAAAATACCTTGCATACAGGTATGCCATGAGACCGAGAGGAGTCCCTGCTTGCAGATTTCTTTTTCCTTTGCAAGTTGCAAAGCTCAAGATGGAAGTGTCCTCGGAGGTTTGGACAGCCAAAGAGTTCAGCCCACACGCAGACAAAGAGGTCAGTACTGCAATGTCTGAACCCCACTGATCCACACTCTTTGTCTGCAGGACAACAAGAAATCATTCGTCGGTACAAAAAGCAAATGTTAAGTGAAGTATGGGGGAGAAGTACTTTCATAGCACCTCTAGGTATTTCTTGACATTATCCAGGAAGATCACTTTGGATCTCAGTTCTTCAAGCTGGGCCTTGAGTTTGGACAGTATCCCTTTGTTCTCAAAACCTTGGGCATAGAAACATTTTTTTTCTTCATTAAAAGACATTAATACCATAATAGCGTACAGAGTGGCAACAAACCTTTTTTTTTCTCTTGCTGAATCAGTTTCTGGTAGAAAGTTCTCATTTTCTTAAGATTCCTTGTTTCAATGATCAGTTGCTGCTGCAGCTCCTGTTCAAGATAAAAGCAACGAAGTTTCATACCCCATTTTTTTAATTTCACAATTCTTTGAAGATGCCACTGGGCATTAACAGTGATTTTATTTTTGTCCTCCTCTCTCATCACTATGGCAACAGAAGCAACAGATCCTTTGATGTAAACTGGGGGAAATTACAGTCGATTTACGCTTCACAAGAGTTGGTGGCTGCTACAGTGCCATGAAAAAAGTATTTGCCTCCTTCCTGATTTCTGTATTCTTATTGCATATTTATCACACTCAAAGATTTCAGTTCATCAAACCAATTTTAATATCACAAAGAGAAAATCGAATGCAAAAAAAAAATAGTTTCTAAATGCGAATTTAATTTATTTAGATATAAGAACCCCTCCGTGAGCCGCCACCTTACCGTGGTGGAGGGGTTTGTGTGTCCCAATGATCCTAGGGGCTAAGTTGTCTGGGGCTTTATGCCCCTGACAGGGTCACCCATGGCAAACAGGTCCAAGGACCTAGGACCTCACCAAGGACCTAGGTGAGGGACCAGACAAAGCACGGCTCAAAAGACCCCTGATGATGAGAAATATATATGGACCTGAGTTTCCCTTGCCCTGACGCGGGTCACCGGGGCCCCCCTCTGGAGCGAGGCCTGGAAGTGGGGCTCGTTGGTGAGCACCTGGTGGCCGGGCCTACACCCATGGGGCCCGGCTGGGCTCAGTCCGAAAAGGCAACGGGTCCCCCTTCCTATGGGCTCACCACCTATGGTGCAATGCGAGCTGGGCGGCAGCCAAAGGCGGGGGACCTTGGCGGTCCGATCCTCGGCTACAAAAGCTAGCTCTAGGGACATGGAACGTCACCTCTCTTGCAGGGAAGGAGCCCGAGCCGGTGTGTGAAGCAGAGAAGTTCCGACTGGATATAGTCGGACTTGCCTCCCCACACAGCCTGGGCTCTGGTACCAGCTCTCTTGAGAAGGGTTGGACTCTCTTGCATTCTGGAGTTGCCCACGGTGAGAGGCGTAGAGCAGGTGTGGGCATACTCATTGCCCCCCGGCTCAGCGCCTGTACATTGGGGTTCTGACTGTTGTTTGTGCCTATGCACCCAACAACAGGTCAGCGTACCCACCCTTTTTGGTGTCCTTGGAAGGCGTGCTGGAGAACGCTCCTGATGGAGACTCCCTTGTTCTCCTGGGGGACTTTAATGCTCACGTGGGCAATGACAGTGAGACCTGGAAGATGCAGATGATATGGTACTCTTGACTTCAAGCAGGGCTCTCCAACTCTCATTGGAGCGTTTCGCAGCTGAATGTGAAGCAGTTGGGATGAAAATCAGCACCTCCAAATCTGAAACAATGGTCTTTAGTTGGAAAAGGGTGGAGTGCCTTCTCCGGGTCGTGGAGGAGCTCTTGCCCCAAGTGGAGGAGTTTAAGTATCTTGGGGTCTTGTTCACAAGCAAGGGCAGGAAGGAGCAGGAGATCAACAGGCGTATCGGTGCAGCGTCTGCTGTGATGCGGACTTTGTATCGGTCTGTCGTGGTAAAGAAGTTGCTGAGCCAAAAGGCGAAGCTCTCAATTTAACGATTGATCTACGTTCATCTGGGCTTCCCTGCTGAAGCTGTTGCCTCCGCGACCGAACTCCGGATAAGCAGTAGAAGATGGATGGATGGATGGATAGACACAGGGAAAAAAAATGCCAAACTACCTTTCCCGCTGTGCTAAAGTAATTGCCCCCTGAACCTAATAATGGGGTGTGCCACCCTTGGCAGCAATTATTGAAATCAAACGTTTACGATAATTCTTTGCAGAATCGCTTCAACTCTGCCAGATTCGAGGGTTTTCAAGCATGAACTGCCCATTAAAGGTCATACCACAGCATCTCAATTGGATTCCAATCCAGACTTTGACTTGGCCACTCCCAAACTGTATATATATATTTCTTTTTTTACCCATTCAGAGGTGGACTTGCTGGTGTGTTCTGGATCGTTGTCCTGCTGCATGAGCCAAGAGTGGCTGAGTTTGAGGGTGCAAACTGATTGCCAGACGTTCTTCAGGATTTTTTGGTAAACAGCGGAATTCATTGTCCCATCAATGGTAGCAGGTTGGCCTGGACCATCACACTGCCACCACCATGCTTCACTGTTGGCAAAAAACGTCTTTTTATGAAATGCTGTGCCATTTTTACCCCAGATGTAATGGGCCGCATATTTTTGATTCATTAATCCACAGAATGTTTTTCAAAAAGCCTTGAGGGTCATCAAAATGTCTTTTGGCAAAAGTGAGATGAGCCTTTATCTTCTTTTGGACAGCAGTGGTTTTCACCCGGGAACTGTCCCATGCATGACATTTTTGGCCAGTTCTTGGAATGCTGTTCTAGGTTCTTTTGTTACTTCCTGGATGAGTCGTCGTCACACTCTTGGACTTATTTTAACTGGTCGACCACACCTGGCAATGCTTGCCACTGTTTCCAGTTTTATCCATTTGTGGATAATGGCTCTGGAGAATGGGTAGTGGTTTGCTAGAGCCCCAGATTCTTGGAAATGGCTTTGTTACCTTTTCCAGACTGAATCTTGAATTTCGTGGCATGATGCGTTTGTTTCTTGAGATCTTGTAGCCTACTTAACTTTGCCTGACAGATTCTATTTACATGATTTCTTGATTCAACAAATGTGGTGCTAGTGTGTTGCCTGTGAAATTGAACTCAGCTTTCCCAAAATGGTCGTTAGTCGCAGTTACTTTGTGATTTAACAAAGGGGAGGGCAATTACTTTTTCACATAGGGACAGGTAATTTCGGATTTTTTGTGGGCCATAATAAATTAAATTGGCATTTAGAAACTGCATTTGGTATTTCCTTGGGTAGTCTCTGTGTGATATTAACGTCAGTTTGATGAACTGAAACCTTTGTGTGTGATAAAAAGAACACAGAAATCAGGAAGGGGGCAAATACTTTTTCATAACACTGTATGTCAAGCTTTCCTATGGAGAAGTAGGTCACCACATAGTGTGTAAATCCCAAAAAATAATTCATTAATATTCATTTGCAAATGATAACTTTCTCTGCCGAGGGCGAATTTCAACTATTTTAATATTCCAATCCAGTTTGCAGAAAATAACTAATGCAAATTATCTTAAAATTCCCCCATCTGCTCTCATCCTATTTACCCCGAAGCTTGACAGTGCTCCACTTGCAGCAAATAAACTAAAGTGGAATTCCACTGTAGTGTGGTGAATGGAAATGCATGAGGTTGTGTCACTAAATTCTATAACCTGTAGTACCGGTATGTGAATACGGTGGACACTCAGATAGGGACCGGGCAGGCCCAAAATCTGCATGTAATTGACGTCCGTTGAAATGCATTAGTTTAAAAAACAAACAACCAACAAACACTATACCAACAACAAAAAAAAAAAGTGCATTGGCAAATCCGCAGGTACCGGGGGATACTAATGTGGGAGTCGACTATTTAGGGTCGGACAAAAATATCATCATTAAAGTCCGTATTTCACTGAGCGGCGTGTGCGCACGTAGCGAATTTTTGTTTTTTTCATCAGGGTTTATTCAAGGCCATGATCAGTTCCAGAGATGCAATGAAATTTTGCACGTTTAAATTTTCCTGGCAGTGAATAAAATTGTTTGTGACCGGTAAAACTGCTGAGGAATGCCTGACGAACGTCTTCGCTGTAGTTTGCGACCTTGAATGAACCCTGATGAAAAATCAACATTCGCTCCGTGTGCAAACACTCGCCAGCCCTCCCCGCTCAGTGAGATATGGACTTTAGGCCCAATTTAACTTTTTTGTTATATCAGATCTGCTTATGTACTTGTTGACATTTCAAAACAAATGCGACGTCAAAGGTGAACAGTGATGTGACACGCATGTCATTGAGTGAGAGGACAAAAGACGATGTCACGCGGCAGTGTTTAAGGAAGTAAATATGGTCCAGCGTATAGGGACTCATCATCTTATCATCTTACATCGACAGAGGAGCGATGCGTGAAGAGGTAGAAATATTTTGGGAGAGATGCATTTTGATCTCCTCATTACATGGAGACCTCTACGAAAGACGACGTCAAGTCATTGCCGTGTGTAATAAATAAAGTGTCTGTGTGGCAGATTTACTACTAACACCACAAATGTGCACTTTATGCTTCATGTTTCAAGTTATATTAAATTCAAGTGAAATGTCAAGTCAACACTGTGACACAAAACAACGCCTTGCCCATATTGGGCTTTTGGTGATCTCTAGGTCGGATTTGTAAGGATGAGCGTTTCTACTGCAGATGCATCGCATACATATCTGATTTATATCTACATATAAAAGAGGCTCAGGTTGGGTTTGTATTTGTGGATTCAAAGAAAAACGGGTGTGGGAGAGAATGAGGGAATACACCCCCATAAAAACAAGATATAGTATATTGAAAAAAATATTGGAAAAAAAATACTGAAAAAAACCCCCAAAGGAAAAGACTAATCCGGCGGTGCCAAACTGCGGGTTCCAATGCATCAGAAAAAAAATATATCATTACTGTTAAAGGTCAAGTACTGCATAACTCATTGGAACAAAGTTTAAAATTTACACCCACCTGTGTTTTCACATCCAGACATGGCGATTCTGTGTACTGGCCAAGACTCATGGCATATTCAATCACATCTGCGCTAAAACAATCCTCTCCAAAGAAAGCCAAGTCCCAGGCCGGCCTGAAGTTCAGGTCTGGTCTCTCTAATCTGGATGTGGATGAGATGAGCTGCTCTGAAAGCAGAAAATTGCTTTCGTCCATTTCTTCTGAGCAGTCCAAACTCATCTGTTCTTCACAAGTATCAGCCAAACTCGTCGTCCCCTCGGAATGACAGTCAGCTTCAGAAGGGCTTTCATGACTGACCCCAGCAGAGTGGTCTCCTCTCTCAGAGAGCCCTGCGTCTGAACCGTCGTCCATGTCTGCTCACACCAGAGGAGTGTGCAAAGATGGGTCAGTGAGGAGAAACAAAAGAGAGCTGACTGAATCACATGGGCAGTGAAAAAAAGATTGAGTTAAGAGCAACACACTGAGTAAGCCATCGACACTGAGGAGGCAGTTGTATTTCAACTGCACAATGAATCCACTGTGAGGAGCTTAAAGGCAATTAAAGCTGAACTCATTTTCCATTCCTCACCATCTTTTTTTTCCATTTGATGTTTGATTCTAATCAACAATGTGATGTTGGACACAAGAAGACACCACAGATGCAAATGTGTATTTAGTGTCGTTGAAGAGCTTATCTTTTATTTTTGCTAGCATGCCTAAATTTAACAGGCCTCAATCTTAGGGGGGGAATAAAAAATAAAAATAAACCAGCCTCAGTTCATGTGACCTTTGCCAGCAACAGAGAAAGAACATGTTTTGAAAAGCACAAGACAACAGCTTTGGGATCAAGAATACCTTTTCCAATTGTGGTCATTCCCTCATTTCTCCCCTGATTTTGGTAGTTTGTCTAATGTTTGCAAACGTGTTTATTTTGGTCCAACACAATGATAATTCATTTTGCTTTCCTGGAGGATTACAGAAATCCGAGAATATTTACTATTGATAGGATGAAATTCCAGACATTTGGAAAAAGTAAAGCAAGATCTATAAATTAATAATTGAATTTCAGAATAATTATCTATTAATTTGCTAATCGATGAGTTGTTATTAATTGATTATCACTAATCACAATGAACTTCTAATTTCCAACATGAAAAGGTCTGGATTCCAGTTATTTTCCACAACTTATCAATGGTGTGAACATTTCCAGGTTTAAATTCGAGACACCTGTTGTTGCAAAACATTTGATGTCACAGGTGTGACATGTCATTTACGCAACCTTTGTTGAAGGCATTTCATTAGAGTCACTGCACTCAAACGTATGGATAAAAAACAAAGAAGCCAGCATCGAAATAACTGTTACTATCTGTAAAATTCAACAGGATATCTTTACAAGTAGGTTGATGGTACTGATTGAATAGGTGGGAAAAAAAAAACAAACAAACACATTAAGGAAGGCAATGTAGTGGCGAGCATTTAGCACTCGAATCCACTTGCAGAATGCACCAATATGTGGTTCCCAGACTTTCCCAGACCTTCATGACCAAGAGATGCACATTGTCGAAACATCATGAATCTGAGGTTTCTTTAGGATATTCAGACTACCAGTAAAATGAGAAGGAAAGAACAGTCAAACCAATAATCTGCCAATATGGAGATAGTCAGTCAATCACCTCTGCCTTGTTGCATGATAATATACAGTATATAAATATCTAGGTGTGTGTGTGTGTGTGTGTGTGTGTGTGTGTGTGTGTGTGTGTGTGTGTGTGTGTGTGTGTGTGTGTGTGTGTGTGTGAGGAAAAAAAACAACAACAATAAAAAGTCTCCAAAAGATGATCCCTGTCAATTTCCACACTGTCTGACAGTGTTGATCACCTCAACAGTAGAGGTGAGATGTGACACCAAATCACTTCATTTGACATGAAATCAAATGAAGTGAAAAACATCTGCAAGAACAGACTTTACCATTGGGTTGGTCCTCTTTTGATTCCTTAGTGCACATAAATGAAAAGAGACATGAAAACAATTGCTGGCTTTCATTCATGTTTCCATTGAAACACCTAAGTACTCCCCCTCAAGGGATTTACACATCATTAACAGTGGAGAGGAGATTCAACATACCTCCTCAATGTGGTTCGACACTGCTCAGCATTCAGTCAGACAAAATTTGTTACCACGGGCAACACTAATGCATCTTAGATTATGCATACACACATTCATGTTCAATGAAATTCTGTCCATGCATTGCACTCATTGTGCACACAGACATAAGAGTGCAGAGGACATGCTACTGTCATGAACCTCATTATAATAATAATGATTAAAAAGATCTGAATCTAATCCACTTTGAGTAATTCAGTCACCTACACGAAAACTGCACTTTATGGGAGACATTGTTCTCCTTTGGACATAATATTCAACTACTAAACTGCTGTATGGAGTCTGTATAGATAAAACCAAAGCCGAGTTATTTGGAAGGAAAACACAACGCTATGTATGGAGAGGGGGGAAAAAACATCCCATCTCATGGTGGAAGTAACAGGGGGCATCATTGCTTTTTTGCCTGTGGCATAACTATCATCCATGAAACATTTCAATTTCGAAATTTATTAAGACATTTTACAGGAAAATTTATGACCATCTGTCTGTGAATTTAAATTTAACAGAAGATATGTGATGCAAGATGGCATCGGCAACAGTGTGGGTACTGGTAATCCAGTTATCTATCAGGAATAATGGAATACAAGAACCAGTGTTGCGTATTTAGGATTTTATATATATAGTGTATTCTGTTAAAATTGCAAGAAGAAAACACAATCTGATTACAGGTAACGTATTTTTGCACTGTAAGGCGCACCTTTTCCCATAAGCCAACAGTGCACCCCGTAATCCGATGCGCCTTATGCATGGTGTTACACAGTCTCTTTATATTCCCCATTGAGTTGTTTGCCTGTTAGTGTTTCTATGTCATCTAGTGGTGATTATTAGCAGGAACTAATTGTAACGTAAAAGGTTTCTGCCCGACACGAATTGACATGTGCATTCGCCAATAAACTCTCAAACAGACACCTACTTAGTGAGCTCTGCGCAACCATTATGAAACGAAGATAATACCAAAAGCAGAGTTAACTCATGACTAAATGAAGGAAGGAGACAAGCAAGACTTCTCATGATATTTCGCCCCTTGTGGATGTGTGTCACGAGGTTTGTCTGTCTTTTTGTTGAATTAATAGTCTTCATAACCTTTGTCTTTCATTTGTTTTGTAATACCATTTGTATTTATATGTTTTATCTCCATGTTTGTGAGCAGTCATGGCTTTATTACAGCTGCAGCAGCTGTGAAGGCTCTATATCAGGGGTGCCCATTACGTCGATTGCGATCGACCGGTAGCTCGCGGACTGGTCCCAAGTTAATCGGGAGGGGTGCAGAGGAGAATAAAACAAAACAACCATTTGTGTGTCTTTGTGCATGTTAGTAATATATTTTTCGTGTTAATGTACACTGCACCCTAACCATCCTATCAGTCTAATTTTCACAAAAGTATTTAAAAAATATCATAAAATAAAGCAGGTAAATCTTTAACCTACGGTGTTGCGTGACCTACGTCACTGGAAGTTGTTAGCGCTCAGCAGTCTGCCAATTGCAGCTTGTGATCGGAGTTGTTGCGCTATATCTTTTATCGTTATCAGAATTCTCATTCAGAGTTTGTTTCGTGTACAATTCACCGAGGGCACGGGCAAAGAATAAGAATCTGGAGGGCCGAGGGAAGCATTTTCAAACGGTAAGCGTGAGCTACGATAGTTAACAGGCTGCCAAAGTGCCTCGCATGCCTCCACGTCAGACTGTTCCTCATCATGTGTTCCTCATCATGGCGTGCGTGTGTATGTGCGTGCGTGTGCGCGGTAACGGTTCGGTCGCGGGAGGTTGGTTCATCGACAAGTAGATCTTCGGTCAAATAACTTTGGGCACCCATGCGCTACATAAATGAAGCTGTCGTGTATTGTATTTTCTTTAGCGTAGCTCCATCCAGTGAATGCATAGCGCAACTGCAGCCACGATTGTTGCTTCTATTCCATGCGCCTTATAATGCAGTGTGCCCTATATATGAAAACAGTTTAAGAATCGGCCATTCGTTGAAGGTGCGCCTTATAATCCGGAGCGCCTTATAGTGCAGAAAATATGGCACATACAGACTGAAAGGCATACTGCACATTTGCACGCCATTTCCAAAAGGAAAAAGTCAACATTTTTATTCTATAATTAATTTGAGAAGTGAATTATTTTTCCATGTACATTTAATAACCTTAAAAATATCATAAAAATAATATAGTTGGCCACCATGTTCATTAAATACGTCACTAGATAACTGTCAAAATCTCCTTACTTGTTAATGCCATTTCCAATGTTTTGACTCTCTTCCCCTTCATTGGTCAGTAGGATGGGGGTAAAGAGCCTGGTTGTGGAATTGAAGGTCTCTGGGTGCTGGAGTCCACTGGTTCTTGAACAGATGAAGAAAACAAGACTTAGCCGGCCTTCAGTGGCCATGACTACACATACTGTACACAGTTACTGTCCACCCATCCACTTTCTACCACTTATTAGGATGTAATGTTTTATGTGTTTGTCCCAACCACCTTGGTCCAGACATGATGGTTCGGTGCATATAGGCATGAAACGAAGAGAAAGTTCATTGCACTATCTGCACTCCAAAAACAGGTGGTGGTAATGTATGAAAGCTGCATTTGCCAATTGGTGCATTAAAAAAAAAAATCATAAAATTCAGAGAAAACCTTAACTGTGTTTGTCTACTATTATGACTTACATGAAGCTCAAACAACATTTTATGACCAATTTATACAGAAGTTACGAGTTGAATACTTGACTCAAACCCACTGTCAGCATGTTTACCAGGCTGTAGTTATAACACTGAATGTTTTGAAAATAAAACATTCCTACCACTGCTCATTTGAGGAGTATTTTTACTGGAACTTTGGTTTGTGTCATCTGCAATCGAATTTTCTCCATCAGTGGATCTTGAGACTGGCTGGAAAAAGAGTAGCATCGGCTAAAAAAAACATGATCCAAAGGTTGTAACTGTTACTGATAAAGTGGACGTTACCGGATGAACTCTGCTGATGAGCTGGTTCCAAACATTCTCAGCATTTGTCCCTTGACTTCTTAAGTAGTCACAACAGCTCTGGAATGAATGCGTATCAAAATCGTTTTAATGGGAGAGGAAATGAAATTGAAGGTAAAAAAAAGACCCTGCTTGGAAAAACTGGAAATAAAACAGCCAATGAAATTCAACAGTCCTATTCAGTTGATAACATCAATAGCACTATTTTTTTGTTATGCCTTTCATTGAACAGTTTTAAAATGTCTTTCATTTCTTTACTGATAATTATTACCTAATTCTCTGCATTTTTGCTTGATTTTAACATGAGGGCATATAGAAGGGTCTCTACAATACCAATTGCTGTCTTTCACAGTATTGTATGAAAAATGAAAGAATGCTCTCTGGACATGTTTGAAAAGACAGATACAGCCTCATCTAAGTTGTAGCATCAAGAGAACACCAATGTCATAACTCTTTAAAACAAAAATATGGAATATCTCAAAAATGAGAGCTACCGGTAATTAGGGGAGAAAAAAAATACCCTAAACCCCCTGAAACGTCCTTGGCACCAAAATGTGCATTGACCAGGGTAATCCTTGAATCCAAATGTATTCATCTTTGGAGCTCAGCCCTCTCATAGTGTAACTTACTGGTAGCCAGGTTACCAGTTTTATTGCAAACAGGAAAACCAAAAAAAAAAAACAAAACAAAACAAAAAAAACAAACAAAAAACGTTTTGGGGCACAAAAAAAGCTGATTTTCAAATTTACACAAATGACTTGTCAAGTCACAGTCAAGTCTTATGACTGCCAAGTGAAAGTCAAGTCGAGTCATTCAGAAGTTGTGATGCGACTTCTGCCAGAACTCAAAAATGAGCAATATTCAACTCTGGGTTTTTTTCATTGAGGGAGATTAATGGAAAACAAGCAGCAACATAGGATGGCTAGAGTGAGGGTGTACTGCAATAAAGCATCCCCAGGAGAAAAAAAAAGCCCCTCAGAATTCAGTGATGTCAAATTATTTCAATTGATGGTATTCTGGATGTACTTTTCAAAATATGACTGAATTTTACATAGTAAATGTACTTTTCATGAGCAACCTCTTAAATTAACTTACGTATATCATTTCAATAATTTAATATAGTCTTGATTGAGGACGTAATGGAAACATCATAAAAATGTTCTTATTGTCCAAACTTACTAAATAATTGCAAACTTCAAAAGCAGTGAGAAAAAACCTGTTTAGCCATGGCAATGGAAGGTCTCTCGATGGGTGTGCAGTTGGCCATGTCAAGCAGAAGTCGCTTCAATTTGCGAGGCATTACAAGCTTCTCACTGGGCAACAGTGTGAACTTTGCCGTTGTCCACAAGACAGCAGCAACCCCATAAACACAAGCCTGGACAGCAGCAGAACATTAACATTGGAAGACTTTTTTTCTTTTTTTTAATGGAGGGCATCCGTTTAGTCTTACATACCTTTTCAGTAACTATTCCATGGTTTTGATATTCAGGGGAAAGATACAATGTATCTTGAGATACTGCAAAGAACACAGTTACTTGATAAGAAAAAAATGATTTCACATACACTCCACAAGCCACTTTGCTCTCAAACTTAAAGGGGAAGTACATGCTTTATAATGTAATGCTGTATATGTAGATAGATAGTTAGACACACACACACACACACACACACACACACACACACACACACACACACACACACACACACACACACACACACACACACACACACACAAAATTTCAGGTGAAATTAATTTACATGTCACTGTGAACTTCTGAGTAACCACAGCTAAATTAAGCAAAACGACTGTGGCAAACAATGGCAAGTGTCACAATGTTAAATGTAGTAATATTTTATTGGTGCAGTGAATATTCTGGCCTGACATTTTAAGATACCGTTACCTTGGAATCTGTACATCAGGGGTGTATTTTTATTTGTTATTTTTTTCCTTTTTGTGCTTTCTAAAATACTACAGTAACTAAGAAATATAGATAGGTGCAGAATACTTCTGCTAACTGGAAAGGTGCCAGCTGTCTCTCTGTCGCTTTTATTTTTTTTTCTACAGCAACCAGGAATACCAAAAGTGATCTTACCAAAGTTTTTAGGTGTCAAGAAAAGCATCGCTCCCTGGAAGCTAATGTACACCGTGTCCAGGGATAAGAAAGCTTCAAAAGAAAACAATCAAAGATGGTTACATTCAACAATTTTGCCATATATGATCATAATTTGTGTTCTTCCAACATAATTTCCAATGAGAAAATACAGAAATTACTTGCAAGAATTTCACAATAGCAGTGAATTAAAAACTTAATTTGGAAGATTACCAGGAAAGTCAAGATAGGTCTGCAGGGATGAGAGGCAGGTGTAACAGAGAGCCCAGAGCTCATTCGCCGTCAGCCCCAGTCCACAGCGAGCAAGTAACTCTCTTAGTGTGATCCACTGTCGGAAAAAAAATAATTCACTTGAAAACATTCCAAGGGTTGTCTGCCATAACTACTATTTATATTGACGTGGGAAATCTCGGGTTTTGGAGTGGAAGGGGATGCATGTCGCACAAATGAGTCTACTGCTTCAATTCTTGCCGGTGTTTCTGCTATCTTTGCCTGACTTGATTTGCTTCGCATCACACCGTTTAATGACCAATAAAAAGGGCTGTATTTTTTGGGTGAGTTTGCTTTTGAGATTCAGGCAGGGTTGGGATCGGTCACCACACTCACATGCACGCTAATAAATCTCGTATACAGTAACAAACAAAGCATTGTGTATCTGCAGTAGGTTTTACCAGTTCTGGCTTTTAAACGACATAAAAGTATGTATTTCAGACATGTACCAAAAAAAATGTAAGAATTGCCGACTTTGTATCTACCATTTACATTCTACCCTCGACACTGTAACATGCTTGCTTTTGCTACAGTTAACGAGTTTGACATTTCTCATAAATGTTACTGATATAGGCCACACCCAATTTTAACCAAGTATATATACTCCTGTAAGTGAGATGTTAATAAATTTAATTTATTAATGGAATTATATGGGCAAACATTTATATCTTCAGACTAAACAGGTGCAGTACAGTATAACCAAACTATTATTTGTGTTTGTAGTGGGACACAACCTACGTTAATTATTATTCGTGCATTTTCCACCAATTCAGTTCAGTAGTACAGTAACGACAACAACAATAAAGTATGGCAAGGAGTGGTAGGATGGTGTTTAGTACGCTGTTGTCTGTGGCCTGGTTGAAAAGAAATTGTCCATTTCGTGAAACAATTGGAATGGAAAATGAAGACTACAAAGTGAGCGCACAGTTAAGAATAAGTCGAGGATGTTCAATCCATGGATAAATGTTAGATGCAAACAAAACACATCAATGAGTAATTTGCTAACCTCATCCGGAGATTCTTCATTGAGGAAAAGCATGCTTTTGGTCATGTAGTTCTTCGGCATGGAGGACTTGTGGTTTTTGGATATTTTAGCCCCAAAGTTGTCATATTCGACATCCACTGGGTTGGGAGAAGCAGATGTGCAGGATGGGGCGACATCCTGACTCTCTTCCTTAAATGCATTTTCATGACAATTTTGATAATTACTTTCTTCATCGCAAGAAGCCTCGACAGCATCTGCATTTGCTCTTGATATTGAATAGTTAGCAAGTGAGCTCACACAATCTTCTGCACTACGGCGTAGATACGACTCACAGGACCTTCCTCGGGCGAGTCTTTTGGATCTGTTGCCCCACACAGACTTGCAACACAAATGTTCATCCGCTCCGATTTCTGTTAGGTCTGATATGGGTACGCTGATATTTCCATGCGGTGGAGTGGGACCAGGTGGGTTGTTGGAGTCAGGGACAGAGCAGGAGCGATTCAGCACCCCCTTCGTCCTGTTGAATCTCCTTTGTGCTTTCATCCTCACTGGGGAGCTATCGTGAGAACGGCAGTCCGGCTCATCTCCAGAACCCCTGCAGTATCTGTCAGCATTATCTGCATCCTCAGCCCAGAGGGAGGAGTCCCAACCCACACATACCTGTAATATTTCAGGTGCTTTTACATTAAGCAGAAAATTGAAAGCGGCAAAAGTCAAACATCACGGTAACATTTCAATTCTGGATGCTGCCGAACAACAAACACATTACAGCAGTGGTTCTTAACCTGGGTTCGATCGAACCCGAAGGGTTTGGTGAATCAGTCTCAGGGGTTCAACGGAGCCTCTGCCATTGAGGTTAAGACACACCCGACTCAAGATGTCAATTCGTTATGACACGCCCGTTTGGCCATCACTGGCTGCAGATGATCACCTTACATCGCTTGTCCAATCAGTACTGTGGGAAATTTAGTTCGCTTCGTAGTCAATGTGTGACTGTCGTGATAGTACGTCATACAATTTAAAACACCTATACTTATGCCATGTAATTTTATTTACTTTTTTCTGTTTTCAATAAATAAAGTGGTTCGGAAAATGAATGAATGAATGAGTGTTTTTAATAAATGTGTTTTTTAATGTCTTGAATTGATATTAAAAAAAAAAAATACAACAGCAATGGTATTCGACTGGATTTAAAACTTTATTTCCACTGCTGATCCAAGTGTCAATTATGTCACTAAAGAAGGGTTCGGTGAATGTGCATATGAACCGATTGGGTTCGGTACCTCTGATAAGGTTAGGAACCACTGCATTACAGCTAAAAATCAATAGAAAAAAAGAGCATCTCTTGTGACTTCAAACATGAAAATCACAAAATCACAGGAATCATTTGACATTGTACCACCCCATAATCGAAAATTTGCATCAGGTCCCTTGGATTTTACCTATACCAACCAGTTTATGGGGCGATCAACTGACATTAAAAGAAAAATTAGGCACTGAGCAATGACTTCATTTGGTAGACCTGCGCAACCTAATAAGAACCAACACAATGATTGTATCACAAATATGGAGGACTTTACAAAGTATTACACACCTAACAATGATAAAGTGCACCACTAAAACTTTGCCAGTTTGACCGCATTCAGGAAAGTTATCTAACTTTTAAAATAAAGTTTTTTTGTTTGTTCGTTAGTGAACAGTATCATAAAAAAAGTACTACATCAATTCCCACAAAACATTGTGGATGTTGGGGAACGGACTAAGAAAGGGCATATTTACAAAAAACCTGACAAGTTCATTTGGGCAACTACAAAGGCGGGCGATTGGCGAACAATCCCAAGGTGTGCCTTTGGTGGAGGTCTGTGCTTTTCAGAATGTAATTCCGCTGTACTTTTGTGACTCTTTCATAGTGTAGGTGTGAGGGGTTTACTTTGAAAACCCACTTTTAACATCTATGGCTCCCAACAAATAGTCAAAAGTAATTAAGACAACTATTGTCATTGAAAAGGCAGATTGTTGATCTAATTTCGTATTTTCATCGTTACTCGGTAGATTGTTAACATGGTAACTATATTTTCACTTTGGAAATAGATCTAAACATTTTTTTTTAGCAATTTAAAACTTGTTTTGACAGTAATTCCATAGAAGTTATAGCCTTGGATTGTTTATGTAAACAAATACAATAACCAACCTGTTGTCTGGAAAGACCATTTGCCTTTATAGCAGTGTTTACAGTAAAGTCTTTGCTCATCTCATAGGAACTCTGTCTTTTGGATTTTGAGTGGTGCCAAATTGCCTCACCGCTCTCTTGTCCATCTGTGGAAAGATATGGAGAGGAATGGGTCAAGTCAGAAATCATTACAGAGATCAAATGTTGACACAACGAGAGGGAGCCGACGGAATGACCTTGGAAATTTGATATTGATTCAATGGAGAGCACACGCCGTCCAACGGAAGACAATTTACGACACACAGCCGCAGACGAGGTGTGGGGCAGCCGTGTTTGAGCCTGAAAGAGGATGTCCTGGGGTATTGCCACAAAAGATTGAACATAAAAACAAACAAAAAAACCCCATTGAAGTCACAATGAACATGTGCAGATAATTGTCTGTAGCATACTGACTCATTTAGACATTTAACTTGCTAAGGTAATAAGATATATTGACTATAAAATTCTACGACTAATCTAGTCCGCAATATGCAGAATATCACATGCCCAAACCTGGAAAACGGGTGCGAGGGCTTCCTGTGTATTCAAGAAAACAGGTTGATGACATGATTGTTTGAAGCAGAATTTGCTTAAATAAATAATTAATAAATACAATTTGACCGAGGGAAGGAAATAAACAACGGAGACAATGCGGTGGCACAAGTGTGCATGCCCTCTTAAAACTGGGGATGTGCCTGGGTTCAGAATCAACCCATCACATTCATCCATTTATTTTCTAATCCGCATATCCTCACAAGGGTCGCGGGGTGTGCTGGAGCCCAGCCGAGCTGTCTTCGGGCAGTAGGCGGGGCACACCCTGAACTGAACTGGTTGCCAGCCAATCGCAGGGCACACATAGACGAA